CCCCAAAACCCCAAAACCCCAAAACCCCAAAACCCCAAAACCCCTTACTTGTGGCTTTAAATAGAGGAAAGTTATCAGAATAATAAAATATTAATATTCTTATGAGTATTAAAGACCAAGATCAAGCCTTACCTTCCATAGATGGTGACGAGGTAGCCTTCAGATTCCCTAAGGATCAGAAAGTAGATTCATTGGATCCATACTGCAATAATTATAATTCTGATATGGCTCTTTGGAGGGAAAATGATGCTCGCTATTTGGAACTTGAATCAAATTATGAATTTGACCACAAAGACAATTTATTTTTCGGAAAACAAATTATTTGTGACGAAGTCGACTTAGAAGGGCCTTATGAGCAAACGCTAGTCTTTCCTAAAGAAGAAGAACCTACATTTTCTATAATTCTTCCTCAAGAGAGTGAGGGATTTTCATTTTCAAAAATACACGAGAATAGGATTCAAATAGAAGAAGTCCCAATCTGGTTTGCTAATCATCCCAAAGCTAATGATTATGAAGAATCTAGCTATAAAGTTCGCTGTGGTGGCCAGTTGAACAAATTAGTGCCTTATCTCATGGAGAGATTAAACAGCTCATTTTTTGAAGAATTTTATGCCAAACAAGTATCACCCAATAGATCCAGAGGTAGACCAAGAAAGATCAAGGACACTGACAAAGATACTCTCTGGGCCGAGATCTTAGATAAACTTGTCCTAAAGGCTAATGATAGAAAAGCAAAGCAAAGAGCTGATGCCAAAAATACCTCAGTATGCAGAGATGTCAAAAAAGTAGTAGATCACATTTTAAAATATATCGGTTCAAAATGAAGATATAAATCAGCCAATATGGCACATGTCATTGAGTCCTACACTGAAGCATTCACTGTTGGATTTGTGCCCATTATCTTTGAAGGCGAAGCACTTGATAACAAAGTCAAGACTTTCTGCGAATTTATTATCATTGCCTACCCTAAGGAGAAGGTTCAGAAAATCATTACAATGATTAAGGAAGCCGGCTTTCTTGATGCCCATGAATGAGAAAACTTCATGAGTCAACTAAATAATAGAAAGAAGTCTTCCAAAGCGAATTTTCAGAGGCTAGTTAGACAAAATTCTTGTTTTAAGAGCATAATCTTAAAACTGTTGTCTAAACTAGACCACTGTGCCTTGAATGGCAAAGAATCTTACAAGGACGTTCTGAGGTCTATTCTGTATCCCAACTTTATTCCTAAAATGCCAAAAAGATCAAGAAGAACCAAGAAGAGATCATAAGCTCCCTGGAGTATTCCAACTGAATACATTTAGATTTGAAATTTGGAAAAGAAAATCTAATAGTGAATTTATTCCTAAATAGTTGGTTAAAAAAGTTGGTCGATTCTAATTTTGAATTCTATTCTCGAATTTCCTATAGGGGTTTTGGGGTTTTGGGGTTTTGGGGTTTTGGGGTTTTGGGGTTTTGGGG